CAACACCACAGTTCAAAAGCATCAATTCTTCAGCGCTCAGCTTTCTTCACAGTCCAACTCTCACATCCATCCATACATGACCACTGGGAAAACCATAGCCCTGACTAGACAGAAGTTTGTTGACAAAGTATATCCAATCTGGTAGCAGAATGTTTCCTCTTTTTTCCCCCCTCTTCTTTTGAAGTTGGTGTTTTCATTATTAAAATAAAAATGGTCCTAGAGCTGTCACCCATCAAGAATCTTCAGTTATAAAACATGGCCTGGTTGCTTTCTTCTGGCTGGAGTTTTTTTTTTTTTAATATAATTTTATTTGTTATTGTTGGCTGTGCTGGGTCTTCCCTGCCATCCAGGCTCTCTCTAGTTGCAGAGAGTGGGGTTACTTTCTAGGTGGGGTACTTGGGCTTCCCATCGCAGTGGCTTCTCTTGCCGCGGAGCACAGGCTCTGGGATGTGAGGGCTTCAGTAGTCGCAGTGCCGGCTGCCTGGGGTCGAGCTGCGGTTCTCGGGGTCTAGAAAACAAGGCTCAACCGTTGTGGTGCACCATCTTAGTTGCTGTGTGGCATGTGCGATCTTCCTGGACCAGGGATCGAACCCATGTCTCCTGCAGTGGCAGGCAGATTCCTTACTACTGAGCCACCAGGGAAGCCCTGGGTCATGTTTGATGGACCTACTTTAACACATTTTAGTTGACAAGGCTGGTTTATTCAAGTGGTTTGAACGTCATTTTAACGAGGCCAGCGGCATATGCTCCACCTCTGTAATCGGTCAGTGTATCCTCCTGGAGTCTGAATGCCCAGAGTCTTTATAAACCCACACAACCCTCGCAAGGAAGAGGGGACACAGAGACAGCCCCCCCCCACCCCCGCAAGCACACAGCTCAGACATCACATTTAGGGCCCAAGGGACTGCGTGTTCTATTACTGAGTTGATAGTGTTAAGCATCATGCTTTCTGGAGGTACTCTGGGCAAGAAGAACAGTAAATTCAAGGGAAAATACCTTCGAAATGAAAATGTGAATGTGGCTCATCCAATTAAAAGACACGCTGAAAATGGATGGAGGCAGAAACAACATGCTGAGCTAGGGAGAGAAATAAAGAACTGGGAACTGCTCCCTGCTTCCTGGATGTCTGGATTACATTCTCTGTGGGGGAGATGTTTCTTGGTTCACATACAAATAAGATCACTGTGGGAACAGGGGGGAAACTGAGGCAAAAGTATCTTGGCCCAGAAAGGACGGCAGCAACAGCAGTGCCTGTGCTTTATTCCGGGTGATTATAGGCAACAGGATGCTGCTAAACACTGTGGCTACCAAAATAAAGAGAGAAATTGAGATAAAAGGATTCTTAGAATTTGTTAGTCATCATTGGCTCTTCAAGACAATAACGACTTCTTCTTAAGGCTTTGGACAGCTGCTCAAATTTCAATCCCTGAAAAGCTAGAGGTCTGGATGTCAATACAGTGAAGAATGTTTTTCCTCTTAAGTGTAGACTTCACAGTTACATAGATGATTTCTTAGTGTTCGTTTAGTACAGATGTAAGCACTAGGTACTCGGTGGTTATAACACTGTCATCTTACTTTGTGTGGGTGGTTCAGTTGATATAATTTTCCTTTTCTATTTGTTCTGAACTACCACACACAAACACCACATGTAAGGATTAACTTTCTCTTTTAAGAAATGACTCCATCTGTTTTCCCCAACAGAATTTGCCCCATTTAGTATTCTAACTTCTGGCACTAACAGTCCTTTTCTGTGCCTTCCGTAGTTTGGGTTTAATTCTCTCTCAAGCTTCTCTACCCTTTGGCATGTCTTGAACAAAGACCAAATTGTGATCTTGTGATGTCTCTTTCTGGAACACCCAAGAAGTGAGAATTTACTAAAAGTTTACAAAGCCATAAAATCCTGCCCAATATCCTCCCCACCAGGACAAACGAAGTTGCTGCCATCCAAGCTGGCTTCAAGAACCAAATGCAGGTTCCGTGCTTGCTGGGGACCAAAACTCACCCTAGAGAAAGACCTTTGGGATGATACCAGTGGTCTAATCTCACAGATACTGACTTACTTCCAACTGCTTAGAAATTTAAAAAGGAAAAACTATAGTAGTGATATAGTTCCTTAGAAATTAAAAAAGGAAAAACTATAGTAGTGATATAGTTCAGAAAAGAAATGTGGACTGGTTGAATGACTCATGGTCAGTAACCATGAAGTAACCCCCTCACGCCCTTTCTTCTGCTATTTCTCCGCTCTTCCAGCAGGTGTCACCACAGTCACAGAACAAACATTCCACAGCAGGGTATGTAACTTTATTTTTCTACCATAATAATTTAAAGTATTTACACACTGCACACTCACTGTTTTACACAGATACTTATTCATATACCTATGAACCACATCTAAAGATTTCTTTGCAAAGACTCGACACAATGTGGGGGTTTCCGAGTGTAACAAAGAGAAGGGAAGAACAAAAAAAAGTTTTGAGTCTTCAGACAGCCATGTGGTGCATCTGTGAAAACCAGTGTGTTCCCACAAGGATAAGCTCCCCCAGAGGACATCCTACCTAACGTGTGAGTATGACCCAAAATGCTTCTGGTTAAGAGGGGGATTTAAAAAACCAACATGTGCAAGGAGCATTTTTCTTCCCCCTAGACTTTCTACGAAAGAAACAGAAGAAAATAAGCCAGGCCCTTCTCTAGAGAAATACCTGTATTTCTGAAACAGTTATCCGTGGGGAAGACTTCATAGTCACAGAGAGACACTGACTGCAAAGGGGAAACAGCCAAATCCACTGGTATTAAGAGTTGTGATGCAACCTTTCCAGGTAAAGGATACGGCAAAACCACCTGGTTTCCTTTTCCCAGCTATTCGGAGAGGTGGTTGTTTGCTGAAAAGGACACGGTATGTTACATCATGTACACACTAAACCCAGACATCGTAGAAAACTTCTACCGTTTTCCACCTTCAGACTATTTGCACAAAAATAGTGGTTAGAGGTACCCTAAATACTTTTCTCCCGCATTCTACTCAGTTACATAACAGAAGTACTAGCTAACTACAGCTTCTGACCTGGGCATGTGATTCCGTAAGGGAACAAACGCAGTCACGGTTCACAGCTGATGGAAGGCAGGCCCCCGTCCGGCTTTGATACAAGGATAACAGGTTTGGGATAACAAGGATAACAGCTCTCTGGTGCTGCATCTTTGCCCAGTAAGAGGCAGGACGCCTTCGGGATCTTCCCGGACTGGCCAAGATCATTCTGTCGTACATCGGAAGACGGGCTCAAGAGAAGCTTTGCCACCTCTGGTGAATCGACAGCTCCATGCTGTGACCGACAGATCAATTCACAAAGAAACAGAACTTTCACCAAGGGACATCCTCTTTGCTACCAAATCTGGCAGTGCACTCATCAAAAGAAAGAAATTAACCCGGCCAACTAAAACTACACACAACCTTGACCCAAATCTCTGTGGCCTTTCAAGTTCACCGTCTGTTTCCATTTACGCAAATGATTCAAGTACAAACTCTACCACTAATTCTTGGAACCAGATATTTACATTTTAGGTATAACAATAGAAACCTACCTATCCTGGAGTTCCTGTTCTCAGCTACTGCTCTTGCCTTTGGGTGTTGGTGGTTTTAAAAGGTGCCAACAATGAAGGGATGGAAGAGGGAAGGCGTTACTCGTGTAGCTCGGTGAAATCGCTATTAAGTTAAATGAGCAACCAGTAGTCACCTACGCATATTAAGAGGGAAAGTGATTAAATCGAGAGGCCACGTGGGGAGCAGCTCTGGTCCATGAGAATGTCTGACGACCCAGCACCGAGTCAAGCTGCATACAAGATCAGGCCAAGGAATCATTTCTGTGGTCAGCACCCCAGTCCATCCCATCACACACACGCGCAAAGTTGGAGGAAGCCCACGGTGTGGAGCAAGGAAGAGGAAACCTTTGTGTGATGGGATCTGGGTCATGAAAGAATCTAATACACCCGAGTGCCTGGGCTCCCCGCTCCTACGCTGAGCCTGGAGAGGGCTTACTGGGTGTAGACACGGGTAAGTACAAGCCCAGACAGCCAGAGGCGGCGTCTGAGAACGCAGTCTTGTACACATCACAGAGGGAAGAGCAAGGCACGATCGCTCCACTGAGGTGTTTGCACTTTCTTTGTTCAATGTAGAATGGAGTTAAAGGAGTGAAAAGCGACAGTTTGAGCAGGGAATGAGGGATGACGAAAGTCCGAGCGGGCTCTAGCAAGATGCCTGCTATCTCCTTACCCGTGGCCATTTCGAGCCCCTCCTGACCTAGGAAAACAACAGTTTCATACGGTTCAACCTACCACGTTCTAAGTGCTCAGACGTAACAATCCTAGTTAATAAGAACCGTGCTAACGTTCTCCCCACCCACTGAAAACGAGTGGCAGATGTCCAGGAGGGACAGGGCTTCCTAGAATCAGTGTTTAACAGCCAAGAGCACCTGTCGGCGGTGGGGCGGGGCGGTTCACAATCCTTCCACGTGGAGCGCGGGCAGGAGAAAGCTGGGCGCGCGGCGATGGCCAAGGCCGGGAGGGCACCGCAAGAGCTGCAAACGAGGCCGCCGGTCTTCTTCCGAAGGCGCGCCGCACACGGTGTCTGCGCGCGTGTACTATATACGTACTGACCAGGTACACACATAAATATTTAATATATAAAAAATAAAGTGCTTTCTAACAGGTCCCCGGGCAGGGACTTTATAAAACATTTCACAAAACTGCAAAAAAAAAAAAACAACCCAAAATCGGTAACGGTCCAAGAACACTACATCCAACATTACGTGGAAAACAGCCAAACGCGGTATGTACAAATCAGGTGGGCATCCCGGGACACACGCATCCTGCATCCTGTCATATACATGGTATATACATATATACTCTTTTTACTCAATATATTATGACAATATATATTTTTAAAAAATTTTGTTATAGACAGGAGGAGAAACGGAACAGGGTAAAAAAAAAAAGAAAAAGACAATCCTCTACAAAAACACAAGGATCAAGCATGTGAGTCCCAGACTGACAGACCACAGTGGGCGTCCACGGGGAGCCCCGCGGCCGCTGCTCGGGAAAATATGCCAGCGCTCCTTCCTGGGGTGCAGCGCCTCTACGTCCTCCAGGGCGCTGTGCGCGGCGGCAGTGAAGTTGGCGTCGCCGGTGGTGAGCAGGTCAAAGACGCAGGACTGGAAGTAGATGTCTTTCACCGGCATCCGCTCGTGGCACCGCGCGCTGGCCGTCTCCAGCGTGTAGCCGGGCCAGGCCGGGGCTGCGGGGCCGCGGGCCAGGCCGGGCCCCAGGATGGCGGACACCTGGCCCTGGCCGTCGTCGATGCGCTCGCCCAGGGGGCAGCCGGTCACGCACAGCTGCAGGTCCTGGCTCTCCTCGTAGGCCATGGCCAGCGCTTCGGGCATGCGGATGGCCAGCGTCAGGTAGCGGCCCAGCTGCCGCACGAAAACCGTGGTCCCCATGTAGCGCGCGTGCATCTCCACTGAGCGGCCACTCTCCCGCTCCACGATCCGCAGGCTCTTGGGGTCGCCGTCCCCACCGCTGGTGCTGCCATCCACGAAGGCGGCCGGCAGGTCATCGGTCACGGCTTGGTACACTTTCTGATCCGTACACTCCCGGTGCGCTTTGAAGATGATGGTGATCTGTGGGGGAAGGAAGGCGGACAAAGTTTGAACACAGATGGGAGGGAGACGGGGTGGGGGTGGGGACGACAGCATCCTTGGGCTGAGAGTTGCCCTTCGTTCTGGAGGCTGAAGGGGCTAGCAACAGAATCTCCCAACTCAGCGTATCTGCTTCTGCCTTGCAAATGAATGGTGTCACTGTTAGCAACAATTTTAAAGGCCCTATGTATTCATTGGAAGGATGGATGCTGAAGCTGAAACTCCAATACTTTGGCCACCTGATGCGAAGAGCTGACTCTGGAAAAGCCCCTGATGCTGGGAAAGATTGAAGGCAGGAGGAGAAGGGGACGACAGAGGATGAGATGGTTGGATGACATCACCCACTCAATGGACTTGAGTTTGAGTAAACTCTGGGAGTTGGTGATGGACAGGGAGGCCTGGTGTGCTGCCGTCCATGGGGTCGCAAAGAGTCAGACACGGCTGAGCAACTGAACTGATGTATTTGTGTTTTTTTTAATTGATGTGGACTTTTTTTTATATTGGAGAACAGCTGATTAACAATGTTGTGATAGCTTCCCTTGGACAGCAAAGGGACTCAACCATACATATACATGTATTCATTCTGATGTGAACCATTTTTTAAAAGTCTTTATTTAATTTGTTATGATATTGCTTCAGTTTCATGTGTGGTTTTTTTTTTTTTGTTTTTTTTTTGGCCATGAGTCATGTGGGGTCTTAGCCCCCTCACCAGGGATTGAACCTGTACCCCTCTACACTGGAAGGTGAAGAAATCTTAACCACTAGACAGCCAGGGAAGTCCCAAAGTCCTATGTGTTTAGAATGGAAAACTGACACAGATCTAGAGAGTGTGTATCAGCAAAAAATTTTTATTTTCCTAAGACAGAAAAATGTTGTTGTTGGGATATAAGGCAAGTTTTATTGATCATTTGTATCCTGTCTCCTTCCAAAGAAAGATGAATTGTGGTAGATAGCGCTGAGAAAAAAAGGAAGAAGATTCCTTTCTGAGTGATGCAGATGCTCTAAGTGGCTTCATGAATAATAAACCTACCAGAACTGTGATTTCTAAAAAGTTTCTCCCTTGGACTCTAAAACAATATCGTATGACTCATCACTACAAACTGAGCTATACACACACACACTCAGGGAAGAAAGAGAAAGCTGAGCAGGGAGCCAGCCCAGCAACAGCTACCAACCATGTGCCTCAGGAAAGGTTCTCTGAGTCTCTTAATCGAACGTTTCACATGACCGGCTAATCCTCGGGACAGCGGAATCACTTGGCAAGTGCGCTCCCAAGCACTGGCAGAGAATAAATACCCTAAACCTAGTTACAGCAAATGTTTTCCCCAAACAGCACACTGGCCCTTCAGCTTCTCAGAAATCTGTTCCCCAGTCAATTCTCAAGTCTCCAAATTAAGCAAAAAACTCATGGAGAAGAAAAAAATCTGATAATACAAAAGCTTCCCTTTAGTGAACTTACTTTCTTTCCTTAATTAGAACAGTACTTAGACAAAAAAAAAGAACTCTGAGCACCTTCACCTCCAAGATCCTGGACATCTCTGCTACAGGGGATAGAAGGATGCTAAGACAGATAGGGGCTTCTGGATCATACAAGGTGGGAAAATGGTCCCCAAGGCGGTGGGGGGGGGGGGACAACATTTTGAGATTTGAGTTATTGTCTGTAAGTGAGGTAATGGCTTATTATGCTTTCTTCTTGAAGAAAAGAAAAAAGTATCAGGTGACTTCAGTCAGGGAGGAAGGGAGACAGGCCAAACACTCTACAAATTACTCTGGATGGAGGCAAAGGGCCACCTCCTGCAAGGGGACTAATCAAAACAATAGACCCTTGTTAAAAAGGCCGCGGGGCCTCCCTCCCCACCCTTCTCCCTACAAGCCCTCCCCGCCACCCTCAGGTTCATGTCTGAAGGCTTTTCCCCCGGCCCGGCCAGCATTTGCTCACGCTATTTAATTCCACATGTTCCCACTGGTGTTACTTGACTGGAATTTTCCAGCCATTTCATTTCACTTCAGCCAGTTGTAAAGCCAGATCCGAACCAGCTGTGGCTGCAGCAACTGGTTAAATTCATATCCGTTGTTTGCAGCTGCAACCAAAAGCCAGACAATGCATTGTGAGAATGCCTGGTGTCTCCCTGCCTAATTACTCTGAGCCACAATTTAATTTCACGACCAGCCTTCTCACGTTTCAACACCTTCCTAACAACCTGAAGGAGGTGTACCAGAGATGATTTCAGGAAATTTGCTGTGCATCCAACCATACGACCTTCCAGAGCGAGTAGGATTTTTTGAGCTAGATATCTAATGGGACTATAAAATAGATTTATTTGGTGACTCTAAAGACAGTTTGACAAGTGCTTTTTAGAGGCAAGCTGGGATCTCTTGGAGGCGAAAAGACTAATTCAAGTAAATTCTGCACCTGAAAGGATTGCAAGTTAATACAGATGGCTACAATAAGAGTAACAAGACTTTTCATACAGCCGTTATCCTCATTTTCAACCAGAACATCCAAATGAATTCTTCTACAACAGTTAAGCCATTTGTCATTCCAATCTAACAAACCTCAAATTTAAACCAACTTGGCCTTATTTGCAAGAATTAAGTACTTTTCAGTTTGCCTTAGGAAAAACACAGAGGAATTAGTTTTGTTGGGAAAACAGCAGAGAAATCCAATTCCAACGAAGTTTCCAAAAAAGCAAGCAAGGGTCAATATTAACATGGATGGAATAGTTCCCTGTCTCATCAAGTCTCTGCTGTTTTCATTAAAAACACCAATTCCAACTCAGGAGTCATTTCAAACACCTCTCACTTTATTGTTCTCTGCTCTAACTGTGACACCAACAGGTAACTCCCACACCTCTAGAAAATCAGGTAAAACTTAAAGCTTGACCTCTGTACTACTGTCTACACTCACAAAATATTCTAGTTTACCTAATGAATTTTTGTCGATCTGTTGAATTTCCTAGGAGTGATCTTCTCTACAAGACAATGAAGCTGACGTTCTCTAGTTCCTCTGTTAGGTGAGATAATTTGCTTTCAGAGTCTATGTATAGAATCAGCCCTTGAATCAAGATGTTGAGGGTAATGAATTAACCTCAAAGCTTGAGAGAGGTTTCCTGAGTGGTCCTCTGTAGTCTAAGTAGATACTGAAGAGGCACCTAGAGATATAAGCAATGAAAATGTAGCAAACACTAGGTAACAGTACCTGACAAGTCTTGTAAGGGATTTTCATCCCTCACACAACTCCAACCTGAGGTCCTAAAAAGCAACCACTCAGCCAGGAAGGGCCAGAAATTCATTTTCCATTTCTATTCTCCTCTTCAGAAAAATTAAATAAAATTTATTCACTCTCAACAATTCTTACTTTAAAAACACTCAAATTTTAATTGAAATGTTTGGAAATTCCACATGTTTTCTATTTCCAACTAGCAGCTATTAGAGGGTCAGAATAGGACATTCAAAATCATATTCTAAAGCTCTTAAACAGATAACTAAAAAATAGCTATGCTCTTTTCTTTCCCCGCCTCTATGAACTGATCCATATGCTGTAATAACTCAATTTGGCACATCTGTTCTCTGCCACACCATTTATTATTGATGGATGGCATTTCTGTGCATTTAAAACATCAATGCCTTTTGTTAAACCTTCCCCGCCCAGCTCCTCCCAACCCCCACCTCAGACAAACTACTCCAGTCTCCTCATTCATTTTTAATGCTTCACTCCCTGAGATCTTTACCGCCTACTGGGTCTCTTAGGAGAAGCAAGACAGCAGCTACAAATCAACCTTTCCACATGTGAAAGGCAATAAGGATTTAGGGTTTGTTGTGAAATGCCAACACTGAGAGGCACCTGCCTCTCCTTTCCATCAAGGGGGAAAAAAAAAATGAACTAAATGAAAGTGAGGTCACCCAGAGAACCAGGCAGTGCCTCGCCAATGCACAGAGCTTCTCCAAGCTCAACAGCCTTGCGCAGTGCTGTGCGGAGGTTTTGAAACAGCAGAATTCCCCACAGGCTGTGCCCTGAGCTATCTGTGCTTATCATTCTTCGGAAGAAACATTTACCAGTGTTTAAATCGGACCATTTTGGCACTGCGTGTGTGGGACCTTACTAGAATTCTCTTAATACCAGAACTGGGACTTTTATAGACAAGGGGCTCCAGCTCTTGGGTTAAGATGGGCCAGCAAACCAAACTGAAAATCACAGGAAATCAGCCTGGAACACAGGGAAACCCAATGTTGATAGGTATCTAGTTAAAATTTTGCTTGATTGCTTGTGTTAAGAAAGCTAAGATTAATTTTATTTCATGTAATTAGCTGATGTGTCTACTTCCTCAGATCCTCTGGGTGCAATTATAGGTTGAAAAAAACAGATGGCTGTGGGAGAAATGAGAGAACGCTGTGCCCTTTGCACTCACCAGGCCAGCAGCGTACAGCCTCTCCTTAGTCCTCAGAGCTTGAGCACAGAGGAGATCGTTCCTACGAGGGCATGTGTTTCAAAGAAATAAACACGTGCCCTATTGCCAGCTCTAAAACACATCATCTTAACTGGAGGGGGCCAATGTTTCTCAATGCTGAGAAGTCCGAGACTAAGAAGTTCCGAAGCACTAAGGAAGGATCTCGGTTAGGCTGGGGAGAACTCTGGATTTCGCTCCTTTTTATGAGGCAGGAAATAAAAGCGTATTTGTCTAGAATAACTTTCTGTTTGAACAATTTCATACAAAGCCTAGGAGAGCACATGGACCATACTTAAGGTCAGTAACTGATGTCATGGATCATTTTCCTGAAAAACTAAAAACAAACAAACAAACAAACAAAAAGAAACAAAGAAAAAAAATATCTGCCAGGAAGGCCTGAACTCAATGAAACAAATGTAACTTCACCACTGCAACTCAGCCTAGCATCAGCTATCTACCTACAGGGAGTCTGAACTCAGCATCTACAAAAGCACAGTTTAAGTCATTTCACTGGGGCAGGCCAAGACAGCTAAC